AAGATGTTCCCATACCGGGAGTCGAACCCGGGCCGCCTGGGTGAAAACCAGGAATCCTAACCGCTAGACCATATGGGAAGCGCTGCTGAAGACGCCGCGGTGACTCACCTGACAAGCGCCCGCGCCCGCCGCTGCCTCCTCTCCAGTCCCCGTCGCTGCGACTCCCGCCGCGTCTTCTGCGCCACTCCAGCCTCTCCCTCCTCTGCCCACGCGCTCCCGGCAAGGGAACAAGCCCGGACCGAGGGCGCGGGCGTCGCGGAGGGGGAGCGCGGCCGCACCGCCGCCTCAGGAAAGTTCTGAAGCAAACCCCAGCAACTCGTGGCCCCGAAACCAGCTGTTTCACCTTTCTTTTTTTAAACTCCGCCAACGACCCCCAGCCTACAGGTACGGGCTGCTCCGCTGGTCAAAGTGCGTGCGGAGTAGTTGGCAAAGTTGAGGGCGGCGACGTCCCGGGGAACAGCTGTTTGCGTTCGGGGCGGAGGCGGCGCGCGAGCTCCTTGGCCTCGAGCCAGCGAGCCTAGAAGAAGGGTGGAGGTTCTGGATCCCAGAGGAAGAGAAAGGAGAAGGGATGACGCGGGGGCTTGAGGCTTCAGGTTAAGGTCCTTCAGCTTAGGTCCCGTCGAGCTTTTGCCCCTTCTCCGTGACCTCAACCTCTTTATACCGACCCCACCTCTCGGGAGTCGGGAGTCCCGCCCCCGTGGGGGGAGGGGAAGAGGAGGAGGTTTGAACGCGGATTGAGTCATCTGGGCACCCGTAGTTGGGAACCGGGGAACCCTGGTCCGGGAGGAGGGAGGTGTCGGGGCTCGGAGGCTGTGGTGGGCCTCGCGCTGGGCCGCGCCGATTCTCGCCCCGCGTGGGGAACGCGAGCTTGAGCCGGACCCGGGGGCGACGCGCGGAGCGGCAGGTCCAGTCATGTGAGTTGGGTCTCAAGCTCTAAACAAGGGTGCGTTGTTTCTCTGCCCGCCCGTCCTCCGCCCGGTCTCTTTCTCCACCACCAGCCCCCCCCGCCCTTCGGTTGGAGGCGTGACGGGCCCGCTCTTAACTCGCTCGGGACCGGCTGGGGACCGGCGGGGCTGGTTCTCTGGGCGGGGTGGAAATGCTGCCCCGCGGAGCGCCCTGGGGGCCCGGAGGACCGGCTCTCGGGAGGGAGGCTGGCCCAGGTGAAGTGGGATGGCCGCCCGCGAGGCCGCGGGAGCGCTCCCTTCACCTGCACAGTCGGGGGTCGCCGGCCGCCTTTCGGTGTCTGTCGTGCTTGAACCTCGGGGTATTGTGAAACTTCAGGGTTGGACTGCGGCCACCGCTGACGACTCCGCCTGCTAGAAGCGGTCGGCCCTGGTTAAAGGAATGATTTTCTTTTTCCTTGCCTCGCTAGCTGAGAGGTCCCTTGGGTTTTCCAACTCTCTCTTGCCCTGAGGCTCAAGAACAAATTGTATTAACTGATGGTCTCGGAGGAACCACTCTCTCCCACCATAGGAGTCTTGTGCTTTGTTTGTTCTTTTGTTGGAAGTAACTTGGTTTTAAAGCAAACTCGATGAGTTTTTTCAGACTTCCGTTACAGCAACCTCTCAAAATGCCAGAAAGGGATGGAAAAGATAAATCTTCCCTAAGATGTTACTTATTTCTTCACACTGATGACAGTAACAAAGTTGGGAGGGGAGGGTTTTAAGCTGTTTTATCTAAAGGAGTTTTAAATGCGGTGCAGACTTTTCTAACTTAACTGGCAACAATTGGACTGCTTCAGTCAGACATAATAAAACAGGGTGCTGTGTGTAACGAGACAAGATTCAATAGTAGAGGCTTTTATTTCAAATTCTAAGAAGATGTAAAGCGTGCAAAATTTTACGTTTTTAAATTATAAATAAGCTTAGACTTATTTTTCCCTTTTTTAGGGCCGACTACTGGAAGTCACAACCAAAGAAATTCTGTGATTACTGCAAGTGCTGGATAGCGGACAATAGGCCTGTATGACAATTCCACTGTTAGAGATTCTGATGTATTTATGTGAAGTGTTCTTTTTTTAATCTAAACTCAGTTTACAAAACATTTTCATATGCATTGCTCTAGATTTTTCAAAACATTGAAAGATATCTGTTATCTTTTCATTCCTTGTAGGAAAGCTGTGTGCCTTCTTCCTTTTCATCAGCCTAAATATAAATATATATGTATTAAGCCCAATTATTTCACTATGGCCCCTCAGTCAAATTCAGAAAATGAACAGTGAGTGTGGGTAATCTCATCCATGTCTATGAAACATCCAATTTTGATGGTGGTGTTTGTAACACTATCACATAAGAAAAGTAAAAGTGGAAAACCCTTAAAATGTAAAAAGAAACATCGGTTGTTTTTCTTGCATGTTTTTTTTGCTCTAGAGATAAATATATTTGATGCAGAGCTTTATGTCTATAAATGCTTAAATTTGAAAGAACTTTATTAGCTCTGTCATGGAATATGAAAATAGCAATTCTGTTAAGCACATTACTGTATCTCTTAGTCTAGTTTCAGCTTTTAAGACATAAAACAAAATGTTTTTTTTTAACCCCTCTCCTGCATGTCATAGTACTGTGTACATAGTACCTATAGCCTAGGGTAAAATATATATTATATATTCATATCCTGTTTACTTGGTAGAGTTGGATACACAAAAGGAGAGTAGCCCTATCTGTATCAATGTTATGTTTGTTTGGTAGACATTTACTTACTATTGTCTACAAGGAGTTTGGAGATATTTTTCTTTCGGGTTTTGTTTTGTTTTGTGTCTTTCTGAATAAAGACCCAAAGTTCTAAAGTTCTTTACTATCTTGTTTAACTTAGGCCATCCTTACAAATAAATGCCACAGATTTTAAAACCTACAAATCACTGATAGTCTCTTCCTTGGAGATACCCAAGCAGTTCAGTGAATTCTATGAGTTATGTAGAGTAAATAATCTCTCTTGGATAGTCTTTCTTCATCTCCTTGAATTGCTAATACACACCGATTTAACCTTAAACAAAATCAGTTTTTTTAATGGACCTGTAATAGTCTGTGGTATATAATAAACTCTAGAAAAATTACTATATGAAAAATAAAGGATGGCCCGGCTGGGTGTGCCTCAGTGGTTGAACATCGACCTAGGATCCAGGAGATCGCAGTTCCATTCCCGGTCAGGGCACATTCCCAGGTTACAGGCTCAATCCCTAGTCGGGAGTGTGCAAAAAGCAGCTGATCAATGACAACACTCTCATCATTGATGTTTCTATCTCTCTGTCTTCTTCTCCCTTCCTCTCTCTGAAGTCAATAAAGATATATTTTAAGTAAATAAATAAAATAAATAAAGGATGAACATTTGCTTTAAAAAGTCACACTTAAAAAGGAATTCATAATACTTTAGAGTAGCTCAACTAATGCATTATGTAAGATTTGAATTATAAAACTCATTTTGCAAACTTTACCAGATAATTCTTATTGTATACAACCATAGGAAGCATTTCTGCCTGTTTTAAACAGGTAATAACATTCGGTCATCCACCTCTGTCCTCATTCATCCATTACCATCATTCCTCGTAGGTTACTACTTTTTCATTTTCTTATCTATCCTTCTATTGTTTTTATGTGCATATAGACGTACATTCTTGTTCCAACATATATAAAAGGTAGCATACTATTTATATACACTATACTGCACCATAGTTGTTTTGTTTTATTTAATTGAACAGTATATCCTGAAGCTCTCTCCACATTAATTTTTAGGCAGCCTCTTTATTCTCTAATGTGGCAGTCTAATTTTGATAGATAATTCCAAATTGTTCTGCATAAGAGTTTCACATTTTGTACAATTACCACATTATATAAAAGTATTTGTTTACAGTTCAGGGTAAGTTTTTTAATGTCTGCTTTCCTCCCAATATAAAGGATTACAGTTCTAAGGATCATTGGTTATTGTCTCTTACCTAATGTGGCAAATAGAGGAGTATAAATTTTAGAGACTTACTGCTTTTGACATTGTATATTGAGAGGTGTTTCTTGAAGTTAGATTTTTTTTCCATTCTTCTTTTGGCTTCATGTCTTGTTTGAGTCCTCATTGCAATCATAGTCACTAGATTAGTCATCAAGTGTACCTTGTATTTTTCTCCATTAATATGGTAATTGTAGTTTTATTTTAAGCACTGAAGGAGACCTAGTCAGAAGGCATAATAATAAATAATGTAGTTCAGTTCTGTAGCATCATTTGATTAAAAGGGCCAATTTGCATTAAAATTATTTTTTGTCTTTTCTGCCAGTCATTTTAGTTTTAATTTTATGTTCCATTCCCAAATTTACTGATACATTAATGTGAACATTATGATGTTTATGTAGTTTTACTTTGTATTTTCTTTTTTTCATTTTCAAGAGTGTTGAATTTCATGAAAGAGGAAAGAATCATAAGGAAAATGTGGCAAAGAGGATCAGTGAGGTAATTTAGTTTGTTTTTTTTGCAAGTTTTTCTGTGTAAATATCAGTCTTTTATCTAGCTTTCACTTTTATATGTGTCTTGCATAGATTAAACAGAAAAGCCTGGATAAGGCAAAAGAAGAAGAAAAGGCATCAAAGGAGTTTGCTGCAATGGAGGCAGCTGCCCTGAAAGCATACCAAGAGGATTTGAAAAGGCTTGGCTTAGAGTCAGGTAAAAAAACAGCCAACATGTTTTAAAAGTAACATCAGAGGTCATGCTAAGTTAGCTTTTATTGTTTCCATAAAGAGGTTATATACTCAGGGTATACTCAGTGTTTTTTATGTGCATCATAGTCCTATTTAGACTGTGGGAGTTTATTCATGCACTTTTGTTTTGCTTTTAAAGCTTCATATTTTAACACCTCCATTCACAACAACTATACTACCTGGGTGGTTATGTAGTCCTAGCTCTGTCTTAAGTCAGTGATTCATTTCAGAGACATTTGAGTTTTCTGGGTATTCTAATTATTTGGCTAAAAGGATCTATTGAAAAATAGGCCTTGCATTATAACTACAGTTCACTTTAGCCATATGGTGAAAACAATCATGTTTGTTTATATGGTTGAATTACAGTGAATTAGCCTTTTGTGGACAGATTAACCAACTATCGCTAGGAGATAATTTTTTCCTTTTTCCTTTTTTAATTGAATACATTCGACATAACCATTGTATAAATTTAAGGTGTACAGTGTGTTACTTTGTTGAAAGTATTACAGGTGTCCCATTTCTCCCCCCCAGTTGACCCACCTCGCTCCCACCCCCTCCCCAGGCCTTCACCCCATCATTGTCTGTGTCCATGGGTTATACATATATGCATATAACTTCTTTGGTTAATCTCTTCCTACCCTCCACCCCCCTTCCCTCTTCAATATAATGGTCTGTTACATGCCTCAATGTCTCTGGATCTGTTTAGTTCATCAGACTCTTTTGTTCATTAGCTTCTTGTTAAAGAAGACTCTTCAACATTTCCTGTACCACTGGTTTGGTGGAGATGAACTTCTTTAGCTTTTACTTGTCTGAGAAGCTCTTTATCTGACCTTCAGTTCTAAATGATAGCTTTGCTGGATAGAGTAATCTTGGTTGTAGTTCCATGTTTTTCATCCCTTTGAATATTTCTAGCCACTCCCTTCTGGCCTGCAAAGTTTCTGTTGAGAAATCAGCTGGCAGTCATATGCGTGCTCCCTTGTAGGTAGATAATTGCTTTTCTCTTGCTGCTTTTAAGATTCTCTCTTTGTCTTTAACCTTTGGCATTTTAATTATGATGTGTCTTGCTGTGAGGCTCTTTGGGTTCCTTTTGTTTGAGACCCTCTGCTTCCTGGACTTGTAAGTTTATTTCTTTCCCCAGGAGGGCAAATATTCTGTCATTTTTTCAAATAGGTTTTCAACTTCTTGCTCTCTTTCCTCTCCTTCTGGCACCCCAATAATACGAATGTTGGGCCTCTTGAGGTTGTCCCAGAGGCTCCT